CCTTCGATGACCAGGTCACAAAATCCTTAGACGCAGGTGTTGCGGTGGACGTAGTCTTTCTGGACTTTAGGAAGGCCTTCGACACTGTCTCTCACCCCATTCTCATTAAAAAATGAGGTGACTGTGGCGTCGATGCCTACACAGTCAGATGGGTTGCAAATTGGCTGGAAGGCTGCACCCAGAGTGGTGGTGGATGGATCATTTTCGACCTGGAGAGATGTGGGTTGGACTTGATGATCTGCTCAGGTCCCTTCCCACCCTACCTACTATGAAACTAAAATTTTTGGCATGCCTGCAAAAAGGTTGGCCCTTGGTGTCATAAAAGATCTAGTTGTGAGGCCTACAGTTATTACAGTACTCCTTACTGCCAGCCATAAGGATGAATGCCATGCTATTGTTAGGTATCTTGTTGAAAATAACAAGGAGTCTCAGGTCCCTGAAATAAAAGCAAAAATTGCTTAACATAATCTAATAGGAGCTAACAGAATGAAGTTCAGTGCTGACAGATACAAGGTGCTACGTCTTGCAAATAATCAAAAACACAAATACAAAATGGGTGACACCTTTCTGGATGACAGCATTGCAAAGGAGGATCTAGGAGTCTTGGTGGATCACAGCCTCAATATGAGTCTGTAGTGTGATGCAGCTACACAAAAGACTAATGCAGTATCAAGAGAAGCATTAGGTGCAAAACATCGGAAGTGATAGTGCCTTTTTCCTCTACAGTGGTATAGGCAGATCTAACATTTTGAAAAGGAGGGTGCAGATAATGTGGTGCATCATCCCATATAACAGAACATATATTTTTCTTCAGGTAAAAAAGAAACTAGAAGCTTTGTTAATATGTTAGTGGCCTATGGCTGTATTATTCAGTTTAACATTGAAGCAAAAAAAGAAAACCTTCGTTGGAATAAGTTAAAACCAGTTTGCAGGGTAGTGGAATAGGAACTACATTACCAGGAGCAGCCCGCAGACTGTAGAATTGCAAAAGAAAGGCTAGCTTGATTAGTGAAACACCAAGACTACTAAAAGGAGAACGGGACATTAACACCTTTGGAATGAAGAGTGTAGAAGGAATCAGATTTTAATGATTAATGAATTCAAGCTCACTGTTGCCTGAACAGAAATGCTGCTGCCACTGCTAGGCAGCTGGTTTTAAACTTTGGGCAGAGCAGGAATCAAAGGGGGAGAGGGAGGGGCTGCAACTGCACTGGTGCACCCTCCCTGGATCCACCCCTGCACACTGGCTAAGCCTTATCTAAAGTAGTGTGTTTTGTTTTGGGTTCCACATTTAAAAAGGCACAGAGAGGTTAGAGAGTCCTGAAGCAGGCGATAAAAATGATAAAGGATTTGCAAAGCAAGCCATACAAGTTGAAGGAAATAGGCACACGCAGCTTGCAGAAAAGGCACTCGAGGGGGACTTGACAAGTCTTCAAATATCTAAAGGGCTGCCATAAAAAAAGAGGGAGAACACCTTTTCTCTCACTGCAGAGCAGGACATGGACCAATGCAAAGTAGGTTCAGATAGGATATCAGGAAAAATGTCACTGTCAGGACAGTGAGGTAGCAGATTAAACTCCCTACGGAGGTTGTAGAATTTTTGTTAAGAAGTTGTGTATGTATTGGTCAGGGACGATCTAAGAATAGTTAGGCCTATACTATATTGTGGGTCTTTCCTATGCTTCTGGGCTTTGCTGATTGGCACATGGGTCTGGGAAGAAATTTCTTTCCCTTCTTATTGCTACAGGTTTTAAGGGGAGTAAAGGGGAGGAGTATTTCCATTTTCCTCAGAAGCACTGGGTGTTGGTTGTAACCAAGGCTAGGGATTTTGACTGAGGTATGCTAGTGGTCCTACTGGAACTAAAACCAGGTGGTGTCTGGCTAGAGGATCTTTCCCCTCTGCTCCCATAGTCAGATTGGTGTGGATTGCAGGTTTTGTTGTTTTTTTACTTTTCTCTGTAGCAGTGGGGAAGAACCTTTTCCTTGGATCTCTCAAATGTGTTTGAACAACCCTGATAGCCACCTGACACTGACTGCCATTTCCCCCCTACTTTACCAGCAGCAGATAAGGGTGCTATGCCTTGTGGCTGTGACAGGAATGATTGTGTGTAGTTTTAGTAGAGAGACTTGGTTAGTCATGTTAGTCTGTAGTCAAGCACAAGGCAGGGTAGATTTGCACTTCATAGACCAAAGTAGATTATATATAGCACAAGCTTTCATGGGTTGAAGCTCACTTAATCAGATGATGACATGGGTTGGATGAGATGACTTCCATAGGTTCCTTCCAACCACACTTTTCTATGAGGTTTCAGATAAACATGGCTGCAACACCACTTCAGCTTGAGAAATAGAACTCTTAACTGGGGTGCAGGCATGGAGAAGGTTTTAAAAGAACTGCAGTGACCTTTTATTACAAGGCTCACTTCACCTAGAGCACTGATTCTCAATCAGGGTCTGCAAAATCCTTTTAAGAGTACCACACAATAGTAGCACTCTTAATATACTTACACATGATTTGCAAGTAAACTCACAAATGTTCTGACCTATTATGGTCTTTAGTTCTTTGCAACAAGAGAATTACTATTACTTTTCCATAGTCAACAAACAAGTGAAAGCTCAGAGGTGGCATTTTCTGAAGAGGCCTTGAATCTAAAAAGGTTGAGAACCACCCAGCTACAGTGACAGGAAAGTAAACTATTCCTGTGTCTATTTCAGCACCTGAAAGCTAAGTCACCATAAAGTTTTACTGCCTTGTTTGCCAAGGCAAGTATCTCATTACCCAGAGTAGCCAAATCCTTAACTTGGCTCCTACTCAAGGACAATTAGATACAACATACGTGGACCCTGACAAATTGCTCTCTACCAGGATTATTTTCCTATCTTCCTTTGGATTTTTGGTCAAATCACCCCAGTGATCTAACAGCTTGCAGACCATAGCATGCTTCAGGTAGACAGAGCTTATTAGTGTTGGGGGTTAGACTTCCCTTGCTGGACAGCAATGTAAAGCAGTAGTCCTGGGGTGATCTGATCAGTTCACTAGTGACCAGGAACACTTCAGTGAGCCACATGCTTTTACCAAACAGTTTGACACGGTTATATGCTCCAGTTGTGAAATTTATTTAAAAAAAAAAAATTAAAAAAAAAAGCACGGTTAGAGCTGTCACCCTTTGCATTGCAGTGGGATTTCTCCCCCCCTCACCACTGATAGCTGTCTTGTCCCATTTCAATAGCAAACACCAATGTTTTCTGCTACACAGTAGCCATGCTTGCTCTCCTATTATTTGAAATTAAATGTAAGCAGCAATTCCAGTAACCTGAAAATGAATTACAGCAAGGATTTGCTTTTGTTTTCCTCATCAAACAAAACCATTTAGCATGGTTTGGCACAGTCTAGTAGAAGCTGAGATTCTAGCAGAACATCTTGCAAAAAACAGCATTGTAATGGGGGATCAGTTAGTGAGGCTACAGGGGGCGATAACTTATTTTTCACATTGGACAAGAACAATTGTTATACAATAGAGTTCTGAGAAGTACTTTAACAAGCGTGACTTGTATTTGGAAGGAAGGGAGAAGGAAGGGGAGAGAAAATCCAGGCTGGCTATAGTGAAGAATTGAAACAAAAATAGAATCAAGCCACTGTAAAACAAATACCTGGCATTTTGAAATGAAAACATCTGAAACCAAACCACTGCCTTGTCAACTAAAAATAAAACATTAAATTCCCTCACTCCAATTTTATTTTGCCAAGTACAGACTGGACCTACTGGTTTCTAGACCAGCAGTCTCTCAATGGCTTGCTGGACAGACTGAATCTGAGGTTTCAGTTGAGACCCTTCCTTGATAGTAATTGAGCAGGCAATGACAGGCCGGGAGACACCACATGCCCGCCCCAAGGCCTGCTTGGAGCGCACAAAAACATAGGGCACATTCTTGTCCTCACAAAGAAGTGGCAGATGTAGGATGATCTCCAAGGGCTCAGCGTCTGCAGCCATCACGATGAATTCTGCTATTCCTCTGTTCAGTGTCTTAGTAGCTGCAAAGTGAGAGAGAAGAGGAGTAAACAGTCCTTTCAAGGGATCACATTAGCGCAAGGGTTGACAAGAGTGGAAACCTGCACAAACAGTGACTCTGCTGGGATGTGAAGCTCTCAAGGAAAGCAGTGGTGTGTCAAAAATAAAATCATACACATTAGACAAATCTGGGGAGGAGATATTCTAGGCATCAGGCTTGAAGTGCAAGGGAGGGAGCAGGTGAAAGAGCTGCTCCCTCATCTGCTTGTGCAGGTGCAGAACTTGTCTCGACAAGGCCAGTTCAACAATCCTTTTCATTCCCCACTTCTTTAGAAACAGGACACACAAGTCAATTAATCTGGATCCTTCTTCCTAAGCACTATTATTTTATATGCATTGGTGCAATGGACAATATAGAAAAGTCTTTGGATACAATGTTGATAAGCCAGCTAGTCACCTTCTATAGTCAAACACTCCCCCTCCCCCACATATTTAGAAGCCAGATCATTCTTTTTTGAGTGGTCTTTGGAGGTGGTTTACAGTGGTAGGCAGAAGGTAGGGAAGTGTGGCACCTCAAGGCAGCGATTCTCAACCAGGCTGCTGTGGCACTGGGGGGGTTCTGTGAGATTCTTTTAAGGCTGCTGCAAGATATCAGCACTGTTAGGTGTGCAAACACCTAAACATAATTTACAAAATAAACCTAGAGATTTCAAACAGCAATCTAGTGTCAAAAACAATCCGACTGGCTGTGGTCTGATTTCCTTGCTGCAAAAGAACTACTCTGTTTGTTTGGTTTTTATTACAGAAAAGTAAGAGTGAAAATGAGGAGCTGACATTTTCTAAGGGGACTCTCAAGGGGTCAAGAATCACTGCCTGAAGAGACCAACTGGTTCAGAGAGGGGTGAATTTTCCTAGGCAACAGCATACTTCATCTGATGGTGTAATGTGGTTTGTAACCTACTTAGCTAGCAGCTAAACTAAGGGTGAGCCATGAATTGTTTGCTATGTCTTTTACATGAAAATGTGCTGTTCCTCTATTCAGCAGAACATCACTGCAGTTGCATGCAACTAATTAGAGAAACAGCATTCTGCAATGTAAAAGCTGCAGCAAGCTGATGGAGCACTTCAGCAGCTGTGCACAGTGTATACTGCAGCTTCCTAGATATCTTGCAAGCCCACATCTTCACAAGGGGTTTAGAAATCTTACCCTGCCAGGTATCTGGATTCTACTGTATACCAAGAATACACTTTTCTCCAGCTATTGGAGGAGCACAGAGAAGCCGTACAATTTCTCTCAGGTTAGTTTTATTTCCATTAGACCATTTAATCAAAAGGGAAAACTTCTCAATGGAGAAGACATATATTGAGATCCAGGACTATGGGGAATTACCAAACATCTAAAGCAAAACCCATAGGTAGAAGACAACCACCACCCACAACTCCTAGTATAGTAAACCCTTTTTTGCTAATGTTAGCGGTGGTATTAAGTTTCCTAAAGGTCAGACTTTACCTTCATTGGCACCTTTGCGTAGCTGTTTGTAGTTGCAAGACTGCTGTACAAGATCCAGCAGTGTCTTGGTGAGCTGTGCATCAGCCAGAGGGTAAGCTTTGGGGTTCACTTCTGCCTCGCTCTAGAGAAAGGAAATCAAAGTTACAGAAGGGGACAGAGGGAAGCTTTGCTTA